AACGACCCAAACTTTGAGTTGGAGTCGAAAAATACGATCTAAACTTCAAGTTGGAGTCGAAAAATACGACCCAAACTTCAAGTTGGAGTTGAAAAATACGACCCTAACTTCAAATTTGAGTCGAAAAATACGACCCAAACTTCAAGTTTGAGTCGAAAAATACGACCCAAATTTTGAGTCGGAGTCGTAAAAAACGACCCATATTTTGGGTCGAGGTCGTTTTTTTCGGCTTGGACTTGGGTCGAAGTCGAAAAAAACGACCCATATTTTGGGTCGAAGTCGTTTTTTACGGCTTGAACTCGGGTCGAAGTCAAAAAAACGACCCAAACATTAAGTCGGAGTCGAATAAAACGACCCGAGCTTTGGGTCGGGGTCGCGACGTTTTAACAACACTATTTGGGACCCAAGTTTAAGTGGGAAAATGAGAATAAAAATTTTATAAGATTTTTAGAATAATTTTTTTTAAATGCATTATAAATTTTTTTAAATTTAAAGTATTATTACAATATATTAATGTTACTTTTAGTTATCTAAAGAATGGAAATCAGGATAAGAAATTTGATAATTTCTTAATAAACATAAGTGAAAGAAAATTCGAATTTAGGGTTTTCAGCAAGGGTTCGAACCGAACCGCAAAACCGGAATGAACCGTTATGATTTTCTGAACCGTAACCTTAACCGAACCGTTATGAAGAAAATATTAAAAGAGCGAACCGAACCGTTATAAATATTTTGAACCGGTTTAAACCGGTTCAAAACGGTTTTAAAAATAATTAATTTTAAATTATTAATCTAAATTTAAAATTTTAATTTTCCTTGGGGGCATTTTTTAAATTGGTGATTCAAATTAAATATTTCTATATTATCAACAACATTATATATTAAATTAAATATTTTTATATTATCAACATTATATATCAAGTAATACCAGGTTTGTTGTTTTTTCTTTAAATACTTCAATTTATCTGTTAATTAGATAAGATATCTTAAAATCAGACATAATTATTCTTGGCTAAATTAACAAATTTATATATAAGATATTAATAAGCTTTTAGAATAATACCTGCTAATAATTAGGAAAAAATTATATAATTCTATTATTAATAAATAACATCTAATAGAAATCAAGTACCTTTTACATTCATTTTTATATTATATGGTTTATTTTTTATCTCTTTATAAAAACTTGGATCATAGAATTTAAATGACAATAAATAAAATAGTCAGCAATATTTTAATGATATAATAATTTTTTATTTATAATCATTGTTTTTTTAAATTCAGAATTCTAATATTATAAATTATTTATTATTATAATATGTTAGTTAGCATTTACCATTATCATATATGCAAAATAAAAAAATATGATTAAAGAATGGCATTTGTAATAAATATTTTTCTAAATCTGTATTTTTAAATAATAAAAATCTTACTATAAATCTTCTGTTTAAATAAGTTAATTAACATTGCATTAAATTATTTTTATACTTTTATTTATTAATGTGTTTTATATTTAAATAAACTTACAGTGAATTAAAAATAGGAATTACATTTTGATGTTAAACTGAATATAAATACTATAGTTTAACTTAAATTACCTATTCTGTCATATTATATTAACATCTAACAGAAATAAAGTACTGACCAATTTTTATATAATATTGTTTTACAATAATTTCTTATTAATTGATATATTCAAAAAAAGTTTTTCTTAGTTTATATAGAATATATCAGAGTGGGTAATTTGAATTAAACTATACTAGTTATATTTAGTTTAACATCAAAATGTAATTCCTATTTTTAAATGTAAGTCTATTTAATATAAAACACAAATAAATAAAAGTATAAAATAATTTAATGCAATGTTTTAACTTATTTAAACTGAAGATTTATAAGTAAGATTTTTATTATTTAAAAATACAGATTTAGAAAAATATTCATTACAAATGCCATTCTTTAATCATATTTTTTTTTATTTTGCATATATGATAATGGTAAATGCTAACTAACATATTATTTTAATAATAAATATTAGAATTCTGAATTTAAAAAAAAATATGATTTTTATAAATAAAAAATTATTATATCATTAAAATATTTATTGCTGACCATTTTATTTATTGTCATTTAAATTCTATAATCCAAGTTATTTAAAAAAATAAAAATGAAGGTAAAATTGTTTCTATTAAGCTTTTTTATTTATTCTATTTATATAATAAAAGATTTTCATCTATCATCATATAGCTTTTTAGTTATCTATTAAATGGTTCAGGAAAAGTCAAATCCTGTGCGTTCCTATTTTAAATTAGATATCATAAAAAATCAATCTATTTGTAAAATAGAAGATTGTGGTAAGATCTTAACTGGAGACCCTGCTGAAAATCTTGAACGACATATAGAAAGATTCCACAATAGGGAATTCAAATTATTAAGAAAAAAGAAAGAAAATTTGACTATTAAAAAAATTCAAATAACGAAAACTGCAAACAAGTATAATACAATCCAAGATGCTTTTAAGTCCAACACTATTACAATACAAATCAATATAAATAAAGAAACTTTAATCCGCTCCTGCACCGAGCTAATAACAGTTCACGGTAGGCCAATAAAATCAATTGACGACAAAGCATTTCGAAATTTTATAGATCCAATAATTATAGGATTGGGTGGAAATTTAACTATCAATTCGGAAAATATACGCAATAATATTAAAAAATGGCGTTAGATTTTTCGGAAAATATAAAAAAGGAAGTATATCAAAAACTTATTTCGTTAAAATTAGATATAGCAACTAGATATGATATATTGGGGATCAATATTCAATTTATAAATAACGGAAAAATAAAATTAAGGACTCTATGCATGAAAGTGATTAAAGAACGACACACATCAGAATATCTTTAAAAAATTATTCTAGATGTTTTAAAAGAATATGAAATAAAAATTGAGCAGATTTACACAATAATCACCGATAATGCAGCAAATATGATTAAGTTAATTAAGCTATTAATACTACACGATGAAGAAGATGATGACCTTAACGATTATTTAATTAATAATGATTTAAATAATAATGATATAGATAATGATAATTTAAATAATAATGATATAATTCATGATGAAAATAAAGAACCTTTTAATATTAAAAATATTAATCTTGCATCAAATGCCAGATCCATATTAATAGGTGTTAGATGTGCTTCACATACATTTCAATTAGCAATTAATGATTGCATTAAAAATTCAAATGAAATTGTCATTATAAATAAAGCAAGAAACATCTGCAAAAAAATAAGAAATCAGACAACAATGGCTATTCTCTCAAAATTAAATTTGAAAAAACCACTAATAGATTGTTGCACAAGATGGAACTCTATCTATTTAATGTTGGAGAGATTACTAGAGTTAAAAAGCTTTTGCCAAGAAATATCGCCCCAAAGCGATCGCGAAAAATGTTTACCAGAGAATGAATGGAAAATAATTAGTGACATATTAAAAGCTTTATATCCAGCTTATGTTTTGACAAAATATTTACAAAGTGAACAATTGACAATGGGCGATTTTTATGCTGCGTGGATCAAATGTCTCATGCAAACGAGTAAAGTAGACACTCCATTTGCCAGACTTTTAGTTTCTACGATGAAAGCACGAGAAATAAATTTCAAAAATGAAGTTTTTTGCTCTGCTATTTATCTCGACCCTAGATATAATGTATTTTTAACTTTTGAAGAAAGAGAGATCGCCAGAAAACATCTTTGTAAAACTTGGAACTTGATACAAAATCTAAATAATCAGAATATTGAAATTCTAAATACTATGCCTACGTGTTCGTATTCGAAGAATAATTTAGATGATGATTTTGAAGATTTATTAAAGTCGCATGAAAGTCTTAATAAGAATAATTCTCATAGCATCGAAAATTATAATAAATGTATAGAAATAGAATATATAATTCGGTCATTTGATAATATAGAGATTAGAAAAAGATACTAATCTTTTGAATTATTGGGAAAATGTAAAGAATAGTAAGCCAGAACTTTATAAGTTAGCTATAACTGTGCTAGCAGTTCCAGCTACGCAGGTCTCCGTAGAAAGAGCATTTTCAAGCCTTAAGTTTTTACTCTCTGCCCAGAGAACTAAATTAAATCCTGAAATATTAGAAAATATTTTAGTTATCCGTTCGAATTCTCTTTTTAAACCTAAATAGTATAGTATACATATTATTTTATTCATTATTGTATTTATGCATGTTTGTTTTTATCTTATTTATATGAAATAAAAAAAACTAATTTGTCTAATTTATATTTCCTAAATTTAATAAAAATATCTATTAGATTATCATGGATAAATTAAATAAGAAATTATAAACTAAAAAGATTTTTCTCCAAAATTAATATATACATGGTTAATGATTAATTTTTTTTAAAATTAAATTTATAAAAACCGGAACAAACCGAAAAGAACCGTTATAAATTATAAACCGAACCGATATGATTTTTTTTTAAAAAACCGAAATGGAACAAAACCTTTATAAAATTTTAAACTAAAAACCGGAACGAACCGAACCGTTATACTAAACGATTCGAAACCCTGGTTTTCAGATAATTCTTATTTTTTTGGTTTTAAAATTAAATAAAATTTAAAATTTCCTAAAATGACGCATACCAAAAATCATCGAGATGTGCCACCAACCATTCTACCCATAACGGAAGCCCCGACACTTCAATTTAACTTTCCGTAATTATTGTAAAAACTTGTTGAGAAAAATACATCCTTTTTTAAAAAAACTTTTAAAAACTTGAAAGAAAATTTTGAGAAACACATTATATTTTTAAAAACATCCGGTAATTAACTTAAATTAAAACCTATAATAATTCTTTCTTAAATTTGCGACAATTTTAATTTTAAACTTCTATATTTTATAATTTATAATAAATTCGCGACAATGGCTTCGCCAAATTGTCTTTTCTATAAATGTTTCGTGGGATAAATTAGCAGATACCTTCGCTATAAAACTTTCCGCTGTAAACGACATTCGCGATAAAAGTTTCGCTGAATTGACCTGATACGAATAATAAATATATTACCCTAAATTCATAGTGAGAGCGATTGCGATCGCGATTTAAGCCGCGATTTTGCAGCGACTGATCAGCTGGATCGATCGCAGCGATTTACATTCATAGTGCTAAGCGATTATATTAATTCACAAAATGAGAGCCGCCATATTATTTCTCTTATACAAAATAATATTGAAGAGGAGATTAAACAATCTTAATATTAATAAAAGAAAAGAGGGCGAATTTTACATTCTCTTTCCTAAACTCTTAAAAAATGAGGTTAAATTTTTCAATTATATGAGGATGACCAAAGTAATTTTATTCTATTTTATCTATAAATCATTTTAATTTAGGAAACCTTTTATTACATACTTGAGCATGTAAAACCAATATTGCTTACAACATCCACAAATTTTATAAAATATCCAATAAGTGTTGAAGAAAAGCTAATGGTTTGTTTAAGGTAAAAATAAAGCAATTTATATTTAAATATATTTTTTATTTAGATATTTAGCTACAGGCTGTAGATATCCTACCTTAGCTTATTCCTTCAAAATGGGAATATCTACAATCCAAAAAATTGTTAGGACCACTTGCAAAGCTATATGGCAAACTTTGGTGACCCAACATATGCCACCACCTACTCTCACTGAGTTTGAGAGGATAGCAAAGGTATAATATAGTTTATATTATATTTATGTAAATTATTATTTTAAAAGGAGTTTCAAATAATGTGGAATTTACCTAACTGTATAGGTAGCTTTGATGGAAAACACTGCAGAATTAGGAAACCACCCCATTCTGGCAGTGGGTTCTACAATTATAAACACTTTTTCTCTGTGGTTTTACAAGGTTTGTGAATTTGTTTTTTATTTATGCTAATTAAATATTTCCATATTAATTAAACATTGTAATGAAAACTTGATAATTACAAAAATATAATTTTATAAAGAATAAATTTTTAATAAATTGTAAAAACAAGGAATTGTGGACGCTAAAGGGAAATTCATAACTGTTGATGTTGGAAGTTATGGGAGTGAATCTGATGGAGGTGTTTTTGCCAATTCAAAAATATATAAAATGATAGAAAATGAAGAGATACAATTACCTCCTTCTAAAAAATTGCCAAATTCCAGCCACTTTTTCCCACATTTTTTTGTGGCTGATGATGCATATCCTTTGAAGTCTTATATTTTAAAGCCTTATAAAGGTAGTTATAGTATATATTGACTTAATTATATCATATTTATATAATATATTAAAGCAATTATTTAGGCATTATTAATGGCCAATATTTTAATAATTAGGAATTTAAAATTTTATTAGTAATTTTAATATTTATATGTTAAAATTTGTTTCCATTATTATTTCAAGGTATCCTTACCCCTCAACAAGAAGCCTATAATTATCGGATATCACGTGCACGGATACAAGTGAAGTGTGCATTTGGTATCTTAAGAGCTAAATGGATGATCTTTGATCGTCCTATGGATACAAAAATACAGCTAACAGAAAATATAATACAAACATGTACTTTACTCCATAACATTATAATTGATAAGGAAAAATATATTCCTATCAACCCTAAAAAAAAATTATCCCCTTTAATTCACTTATTTAATCAACAATCTATTAAATCAGCAACAAATATTGCAAAGTTTAATAGAAATTTATTATGTTTATATTTGTATAAAAATCCCATATTATAGATATTTATAAATTTAATCAAATCTTATATATTATAATAAAAATAAATGTTTAATTATTATCCTTCCATTAAAGAAATTTTTTATAAATATAATATTGCAATACCTCCATCAGCTCCAATTGAAAGGTTATTTAGTTTTGGCACAATGTTAATTATGCCAAAAATCTAATTATAAATATTTTAAAAATTTGATTATCTTATAAAATATGAATTTATTTTAAATACTCTTTTGCAAATTAATATTTCAACTCCAATACTAGTCTCCCTTCCCTATCTATGCTAAGAATGGACTAATACTAATATTAAAATGCCTGATTATTATAATCAACTCATCATTAAATATTTTATTAATTCTTGCAAATATTCATTCTTATTATGGTAATGTTATGTTCTTCACAAATAAATAATAAAAACTGTATTTTACAAACTATTCTAACTTAATTGGTTATATTTAAGATACTCTAAATAGGCTAAAGATACAAGTATCTTTTATCTTGTATCTTTTTGATATTTTGAAAAAGATACTAGTATCTGTATCTAAGATTCATTTTTTCACAAAGAATCTGTATCTAGATTCTTTTTCCAGAGGACCTGCCCAACTCTGTTCAATAGTATATAATTTTATTTAAAATAATATGAATGTATACAAAATATCTATTTAAAATAATATAAATATACACAAAATATCTATTTCATAATAAAAATATATACAAAATAATTTTATTTAATTAAAGTTGCGTATGAGATCATACATTTGATCAGAAAGATCTTTCTTCTCTTGAATACTGCATCCGTCTAATTTCTCTCTCATTACATGACATATTGCATATTCATTATATCTATTTTTAGTCATCTCTAATTCCAATTTCGTTTTTTCATGTTCTAATTTTAGTAAAGTTTTTATTTCATCTATTTTAAAATTTTCTAATAATAAATATAGATTACCTATATCATTATTCCTTCTCTTAGGATATTTACAAGATGAAATAATAGAGTCAGAAAAAATAGATTCTTAAATATAAATAATGTATATTTTTTAAATTTATAATTACCACACTCATTACTAAGTTGTAATGGAGGTCCTTTAGGAATAATAGTATCTATTATAAGATCACTATCAATACAATCAACTAAATAAAAAATATATTACCAATTCAAATGTTATATTTTACATTCATTTGTCTCCCCAATAATTTCATTAAAGATATTATTTACATGGAATAGATCCTTCCCCCATATCTAAAGAGGATAACTGTAACCTTGGTGTTACAGTTTCTACCAGGAATAGCATATCCTGATAGTATGGCCATGAAATATGATGGTCTGCCTGTGACCCACTCTTAAGTTTGGTCATTTTTAGTCTTTCTCTCATGAAGCAATCTCTCAAATTTTTCCATAGAGTTCTAAGAGAGAGCCCTAAAATGGTATATAAATATAATTACCAGGCATACCATACTCTTGAGCTAATACACTCCATATTTTATTTTTATATATTATATTTTTGTATAAATTATTTTGCTTATTATACAAGCAATCGTATTCCTTAACACTAAATAAAAGCAACTTTATCTATTTTCTATAAAAAGATTTTAATTTAAATCATAATTTTAACTTGATTCTTTGGTTTTATATCATCAAAAAAGGTTGTCATTGATTTCGAATACATTTTTAAAATTGGTGGTAAATCTTAAATATTTTGTGCTATATTCACCAAAATCTGTATTTAACGAAGCACTATTTCAAAATCTCGCTATAAATACAAAATGATTTGTGTTTTGAAAAAATCGCGGCGACTAGCTTTTGCGACTCAATCGCGCGATCGGTAACTATGAATGCGATATGATATTTACTATATTTTGTATTTGTCGCGGCTAAATCGCAATCGCGCCACTATGAATTCAGGGTTAACCGCGAATTTATTAGAGCGAATACATTTTAGCGAAATATTTTGCGCGAACACTTTATAGCGAATTTTTTATCGCGAATATGTTAGCGCAAAATTATCGCGAGCGCATTACCGCGAAACAATAAATATATTGCGAATGCATTTATTTAAAAGAAAACAACATATTATTTATTATTTGATGTTTTTTAATAAAAAATGATATGCTACTATTGTAATATTATTTTTGTTACAATTTATTAGTGATTTTCACACGCCCAAAATTTTAAGCAAAAAAAATTTTTTGAACTTAATATGATAAAAATTTAAAATCTTCTTTGTAAAAATATCTTTTTTAAGGAATTCTTTTGTGAAATTAAATATACAATGGTGATTTTATAGTTTTTTTTAGCATTTTTGTAAAATTATTGATTTCTTAAATATATTAAAACAGGTGGGTTTTCTAAATAATTTTTTTTTAAATATTTATATTCAACTAATTTATGTTATTTTATATGATCTTTTTAAGGAAAATAATTTAATGTGACAATTGTCATATTCGTTATTTCTAAAGATTTTTGAAATTTATTGACTCAAAAGGGTAAAAATATCATTTATATTGTAAAGATGTTAAATTATAAATTCAATGAAGATGTTCCTTGGAAATATGGCAATTATCATAATCGGTATTTTTAAACATATTAGATCTTTTTAACGCTAATGGGCAAAAATATGTATTTTTAACATGTAAAATTATAATTTCAATTAGGAAGTACCATATAAAAGCGACAATTGTCATAATCATTATTTTTAAAGTTTTTTTACAATTTTTTGACGTAAATGGGCAAAAATATAAGTTGTTACATGTTAAAATAAAATTTCAGTGAAAATGTACCATAGATATAAGTTACAATTGTAATAATCGTTGTTTATAAAGTTTTTTGAATTTTTTTGTTGCAAATGGGTAAAAATATAGATTGTAAACATTAAAATTTCATGAAGATCTACCATTGAAAAGTGACAATTGTCATAATCTTTGTTTATAAAGTTTTTTGAATTTTTATGTTGCAAATGGGTAAAAATATAGATTGTAAACATGGTAAATTAAAATTTCACGAAGATCTACCATTGAAAAGTGATAATTGTCATATTCGTTATTTTTAAAGTTTTTTGATCAAATTGCGTTAAAATAAGTATTGCTAGTATGTTTAAATAAAACTTCAGTGAAGATGTACCCTAGATAAGTGACAATTATCATAATCATTATTTTTAAATTTATTTAACGTAAATGGGTAAAAATATAGATTGTAAATATGTTAAATTAAAATTTCATGAAGATGTACCATGGAAAAGTGACAATTGTCATAATCGTTATTTTATAACTTTTTTTGACGTAAATGGACTAAAGTAAGTATTGCTAACATGTTTAAATAAAATTTCAGTGAAGATGTATCATAGATAAGTTACAATTGTCATAATCGTTGTTTATTTTGAAAATGGGTAAAAATATAAATTGTAAACATGCTGAATTAAAATTTTATGAAGAAGTACCATTGAAAAGTGTGTAGTAATACCGACTACTAATTTATAAACAATACGACTACTAATTTATATTTCAATTTATTTCAAACATCAAATTTATATTTGTATTTATTATTCTCTTTATCAAATGTATTATTATACTTGACTTTATTATAGCCTTTATCAAATGTAGTCGTCGTTTTAATTGAATGTTTATAATTATTATCATTTCTTTTGTTATTATCATTTATCTTATTAATAGGCATATTTTTATTTGCCATTTCTTTATCTGCTCGCTCAGAAGCTAATGCCAGATCAAGAATAAATTGAAAAGTCAGTACATTATTATCTCTATCAAGACCGTCGGGGTATAGAGCTCTAAGATTTCTTTTCAATCCCGGTATTTCCATGCCAACCATAAACTGATCACGTAAACGCTCGTCAATATCATTAAGATAATGACAACGCTTGTCAATTGTTCTAATTTTATCTGCAAATTCAGTTATGGTTTCAGTTGTTCTTCGTAATCTAACGAAATCAAATCTAGAAGCAAAAGCTGTTGACGTCGGTTTAAATAGTTTAAAACATATTGACTTAATTTCCTTAAAAGATAAAGTTTCGATCGAATCAGGATAACAAAAACGGTGCACCAACTCAATATTCTTATTGTCAAAAAATGTTAAAAATATATCTTAATATTGACATTCAGATGGGCTTACGTTTTTTAACCGAAAACTGGCTTCCCATTGAGAAAAGTATATATAGATTGAAGTGTCCAACTCGAATTTATCAAATTTAATCGTAGATAAATCCGCTATTTTTTTTGAATCTCCATTTAAGGAATTATTTTCTCCATTTATCGTCGCCATTTATAGTAAAACCGACTACTAATTTATAAACAATAGCGAGCAGATAAAGAAATGGCAAATAAAAATATGCCTGTTGTTAATAAGATAAATGATAATAACAAAAGAAATGATAATAATTATAAACATCCAATTAAAACGACTACTACATTTAATAAAGGCTATAATAAATACATTTGATTAAGAGAATAATAAATACAAATATAATAATGATAAAGATTATAATAAATCTAAATGTTATAAATGTGGTTTTATTCATAACTGAGAAGTGAGATGTCCAGCTACAAATGCGGCATGTAATAAATGTAAAAAAATTGGTCATTTTATAAGTTTGCTGTAAATCAAAGAATTTAAATTATATAAGAGTGTCATCAAGTGATTCTATTCATAATATTTGGAAGATTCAACCAAATCGAGATAATCGAGCAAAACTAACTGCAGAGATAAATGGGTTAGATGTTGAATTTGATTTTGACACTGGTGCATAAGCGTCATTGATAGGAATTGATATATGGACAAGTATTGGGCGACCAAAAATTAGGCCAACCAGTCCATTGACTGCATATGGTGATCATCCGTTAGACGCTAAGGGCGAGTATGGTGATCATCCGTTAGACGCTAAGGGCGAGACCCAAGTCAATGTTAGGATTGGATCACAGACAAGGACCCTATCAGTGGTAATAATGAATACAACTGGGGTGCCTCTTTTCGGATTACCATGGATTATAGCAT